ACAAATCTTTTTTTAAAAAGAGAAGCAACAAAAGAAAAACTAAAAGAAATCAATGCAGCTCTAATTGAATGTAGGAAGCGCAATGATCCCTGTTCGTGCGGAGTGATTATATATACAGAAGAAGCCAAAGACTCCACCAAGAGACTATTGAAAGTGATCAAAAGAGTTCAGCAAGACTGCAGGATGTAAAATTACACACAAATCAATAACATTCTTATACATCAACAATGATCTGGCCAAGAAACAGTTTGTAAGAGCAATACCACTCAGAATAGCTTAAAATAAATGAAATAACTTACAATAAATCCAATCAAGGATGTGAGAGAGCTCTTCAATGAGAGTTATCAAACAGAAGACACCAAGAAATGGAAAATACTCCATGTTCATGGATGAGTATTAATATTAACAAATGTCTGTATTACTCCAAGCAATTTACAGATTCAATACAATCATCATCTGAATTCCAAGACAATTTTTAGAGAACTAAAAAAAAAAAAAACCTGAAATCCATAAGTAAAAACAGAATACCTTGAATAACTAAACTGACTCTGAACTGTGAAAACAGAGCTAGAAGTATCACAATCCTAGATGTCAAGGCATACCATAAGACTGTTATAATCAAAGCAGCCTGAAGCTGGCACAAAAATAGACTTGTAGACCAATGGAGAAGAATAGCCACTCCAGCACATCCATGCATCTACCACCAGCTACCATGAACTTTGAAAAATCTGCTTAAAACATCCTGGGAGACAGTACTATCTCTTTAACAAATGATGTAGGAAATATCTGATTCCTGCCTTCCAACGTTTGAAACAAGACCATACCTTACACCGTTTATAAAAATCAACTCAAAATATGTCAAACATCTAAAGACCAGAAATCATGAAACTACTGCAAAATACTGCAAGCCATCGGCCTGGGTAAATCTTTTTGGATAAGACTTCAGAAGCACAGGAAACAAAACAAACAAAGCACAGCAAAACGAACAAAGGGGATTACATCGAGCTTCTAGGAGGAGAGGAGACAATTGGGGGAAAGTACTTTTTAAACTGAACATCTGGCAAAAGATTAATATCCACAATGTGTAAGGAGCTCAAAGAACTTAGCAACAACACAATGAACAGCCCTGTAAAAAAAGGGAGCAGAGAATGTGAGCAGATATTTTTCTAAAGAACAACATGAAAGGTCAGAAGATGCATGAAAAACTAAAGTACTCAGGGACCCGGTACCATAGCCCAGTGGCTAAAAGTCCTCACCTTGTATGCATCATGAGCCCATGTGGATGCTGGTTCATGTCCTGGCAGCTCTGCTGCTTTCCAGCTCCCTGCTTGTGGCCTGAGGAAGCAGTTGAGGATGGCCCAAAGCCTTGGGACCCTGTACCCATGTTAGAGACCAGGGGGAAGCTCTTGGTTCCTGGCTTCGAATCAGCTCAGGTCTGGCCATTGCAGCTACTTGGGGAGTAAATCAGCGGATGGAAGATCTCTCTGTCTTTTCTTTGTAAATGTGACTTTACAATAAAATAAATCAATGGACAAATCTTAAAAAGAAAATAAAGTACCTAGGAGCACTAGCCATCAGGGAGATGCAACTCAAAACCACAATTGGATATCACTCATTCCAGTTAACATGGCTGTTATCAACATGATGAGCGCATTAGCAAAGATGTGAAGAGCATTTCCATACCGTTGGTGGCAGAGTTGTAAAGGTGTAGAGCATTCTTGGCAAACCATGTAGCTGTTCTCAGAAGATGGACTGTCCAGGTTCCCAGATACTATACATAAAAAGGCAAGCTGATCCATCTGTGAGAAGACATCTGCCTGCAAACCCATGACTCCTGTAGCACCATATTGATGGATACATATCTCTCTCTCTCTTTCTCTCTCTCTCTCTCTCTCACACACACACACACACACACACGCTACCCAGTCATAAAAGTTGAATGAAATGCTGTCACTCTTGTTACTGAAGTTGGACAAGTGTCATGTGACGTGTGACCTCACTGCCGGGCAATCTATGAAAGCTGATCAGTTTCACTGACGGCGAGCGTGGAACAGTCAGTGCTTTCTGGAGGCTGAGAAACCAGTAGGGAAAAGCTGGGTCAGTGGTGAGAGAGGAGAAATAAGTTGTGAGGCTCTGTGGCAGAGCAAGGAGACTATGGATAATGATAGCACAGCTACGTTTCCAAAAGCTGCAAGAGGAATCTTATGTTTTCACTACAAACAAAGAATAATTGCGGAGGAGACAAATACACTTAGCTTCTTTTGAACTTACACAATATGCACTGGTACCAAAGTATTACATGAAACCTCACGAACACCTAAGTTTTAACATCTTAATTTAAACATTTTAAAATACATATACTTCTGAGTAGCCTATGTCTCCTAATGAAATCAGAAAACATTTTAGCTGTGTAAAAATGAAAATATTACAAAAATTAGATATTAAAAATACTCCTTCAACATTACATTTAAATGTTACTAAAATTACACTGCAATCTTTTTTTATATATGATATAATAACACATTTAAAGAAGATACATAGCCTTAAATATGTTTATTGAAAATTAAAAGCTGTGAGCTCCCAGGCGGCAGGGCTGGGGCCAGGTGTGTCGGTTTGTCCCTGGATGTGGCTCAGGTCTGGAGGAAGGCCTGGGCCCATTGGCCCGCCATGTGCCTGGACCCAGATGGCTTTGGTCTAAATACCTGAGCCGATTGGCCTGTAGGTATTCTGAGCTGGAGGGGGCTCAGCTAGGCCATAACATCAACCTAGAATAAAAGGAAGAGTAAGTGCGAGACTAAAGCACCAACATTAACTCTTTGCACATTATTTCAGACACTAAGACTAAATAATATACATTCGAACTCATTGTTAAAGCTAGTGTAACTTTGGAACCAAAACTTTATAGACCGTATGAGAAAGGAAATTTTGATAATAATCACAATTATTAGCACCCATGGAAAGTTTTTAAACAATGTTTCTAATGAGTAGAATTCATCAACATATAGAAATGATGCCTCATGACACACTTGGTTTTAATTCAGGAATATAAAATTGCCTTAATATTAAAAAATAAATTAAGACAATTTATAACCTTACTGGATGAAAGTGTAAAAACTACATGATCATCTTAAATGTGAAAATGAATTTCACAAAAATTCAATACTCATTCATGTTTTTCAAGGAACCTAATAAGAGTTTTGCCAATCAGAATTAAGTGAGCTGTGCTGTAGGCACAATCAGTTCCAGAAACCCAAGAGGCATAAACCAGGGAGTGATTTAACACAGTGAGCCCTCCTCACTGCATGTCCACAGGAGGCTGTGCTCCTGGTGGTTGTGGAGGGACTGGCCAGGTGGACCCTGCTGACCGTGGAACCACTGGAAGCCAGGGCACAGAAGGGTCTCTCTGGGTCCCTGAAAGCCACTCTTGGCAGCTCACTCTCCTCTGCGATGGTACTCCAACTTTCTACCTGCTCTGGCAGCCCAGGACTCTGTCCTCTGGCACCCATGTCACTCTGCCTGCTACTTTCCTGCATCCCAGGCCACACACCTTAGCTGTCAGACATGAAAGAGATCTTCGACTCATGACCCTTGCACACGGCGTCTTTCCTAGGCAGACTCTAGCCCGACTGCACTTGCAGTGTCTGCCTACCCACAATTCTTTGACATGACATTACAGGAGTCACAACAGACACCTGGCTACAGATTATGTTTTTGACATTGTCTCCTATGATCTCCTACGCTTGTCCCATGCGTTAGCCTGTTTGGTTGTGTTGAAGCATGTCCATTCTCACATCTCAATCTAAAGGTGAAGTGATCTTCGGAGTCCCTGGGAATCCTTCTGGAAAATCTTTTGCAATTCTTCTCTGCAACGCAATCCTCAAGTCCAAAGCCATCCCAACAGGCCTCCCTCTCCAGCACAAGTGTGTGGCTCTCTCATTTCACATAGATATCATGTTAGTCGGCAATGCATTCCCCCAAATTGTAATGCACCAGTTAGTACCCAGCAAATGCATAAAACAACTGAAAAATTACTAAATTATGAACTGCATACTCAGTCTCCACACTGGAATTTATATAGGTGCCAGAGTCAGATTGAAGTGGCAGTTTGGGGCGGTCACTGTACTACATGCACTAGATAAAGACAGACTTGGAATCAAGATGGTGGAATAGGGTAAGAACACGTTTAAACGGATGGAGAAATATTAGCTAGTGTGAAGCAGAGAGGCACATTCCAGGAAATAGGAGAGGACAGAACAACAGCAGAGGGGTATCTGGAGACAGACAGACATAGGAAAGCAGCAAACAAAACAGGGTGGTGTTGTAGTCACTGATACCCCAGCAGCATTCAGTAAAAGGCAATCTGAATTACATCAGCAGCCAGAACTCCACCAACAACAAGGAGGGAAGGGAAATTTACTGGAACTCCAGGGGTGAACCCAGAGAAAGAACTGCCCGTCATGCTGGTCTGTTTGATTGGACCAGGAGCAGAGACAGAGCAGCAGGTCCCAGAAGGGCAGTGCAGGAACAGGGTGGATTTCACAGCCCAGTCTGCCCTCCTAGAGCAGCATCGGGTGCCATTTTGTTTAAGGATGCTATGGGATAGCACTGCACATGCATGGAGCTGGGAGTGAACACATGTCTGACTCAGTGAACTGAAACAACGTGGCATCCTATAGGTTCCACCCAAGACAGGTCCAGGTAGCTCTCACCTGACAGCCAGGAGAACAAGAACTCTAGTAGTGGCACATCAGGTGCCATTTCTTACAGTGTGGCAAAGAATTTAAGACTGCCTAGGACAACTGAACTGCGCATGTGCTGAGCTTGTGACAACTCAGGAAAATAGTACCGACTGTGGCATTGTACATGTCAAAATAGGTCAGTGTGGCCCTCAGACATAACAGCTAACAGGTACTGGCAAGATCAGCAACAACAACCTAACTATATAGGACACTTGGTGTCTCCCTATCCTGGGACCTGCTCCAACAAGAAGTGGGGAGAAAGGTTGTACAGACAATAGTGCAGCCTCAGCACAGTATCACAGGAGGTGGAGAGTGGTGAGCCAGGAGCTGGGGCTGCGGAAACCATGGTGTAAATCTAAGTTGAGAACCCAGACCTGGACCTCACTGGAGGGAGTGGCACAAGTGACTGCAAACCAAGAGCTGTGTACCAACTGCAATAAGTAAATCAAGCTGTAGACCTGTGGGTGACACGGCTTAGAAACCTGCCCTGAGGAGAAGAATCTGCTAACCAGAAGTGCAATGGCCAAGAGCCAAAGAAGAGACAGAGGCACAATAAATATTACTGAAGACTCCCCTACCAAGGAGCAAAACCCTTTGCCAACATCAGAGTTAACTGAGGAAGACGTCAAGAAAATGGGTGATACAGAATTCAAAACGCTTGTTATAAAGCTTCTTATCAACAATGAGAAGCACATAAAGCAGGCATTCAAGGAGTTTCAGGAATATGTCACACTGGAAATGAATCAAATGAAAGCTGATATATCAGAAATGAAAAATACAGTGGAACAAATTAAAAGTACAATGGAGAGTCTCCAAAATAGAATGAAGGAGGTAGAAGAAAGAATCTCAGAACTGGAAAATAATTCCTGTCACCAGGGGAAAACAAACAGAAACCTGGAGCAGAGCTGGATCAGCCCAAAAAAAGTGTTTAAGAATTGAAAGACACCATGAAGAGGCCAAATATAAGAGTTATGGGAGTCCCAGAAGCTGCAGAAAGAGCAGCTTGGTTTACAAATGTATTTAATGAAATAATTAAGGAAATTTCCCCTAATCTGGAGAAAGAATTAGGAAACAATACAAGAGGGGCACAGATGTTCCAACAGGCTTGACCGAAAACAGTCTTCACTACGACACATGATAATCAAGCTCTGTTCAACTGAACATAAGGAAAAGATCCTTAAATGTGCATGTGAAAAAAAATCAAGTGACATATAAAGGACTGCCAGTTAAACTCACAGGAGACCTCTCACAGGAAACTCTATAGGCAAGAAGAAAATGGAGCAACATATTCCAGAATCTAAAAGCAAAAAATTGTCAGCTCAGGTTAACATAAAAAGCAAAACTTTTCCTTTGTCTTTGAAAATGAAATCAAATTCTTCCACAGCAAAGTTAAAGAATATGCCTCTTGCAAACCTGCCCTAGAAAGAATACTTAAAGATATTCTCTTGACAGAGAAAAGGAATAGCACTGACCAAAACCAAAGACAAATGTGAAGAACATCCCAGTAAAATAACAGAAGACTAAATCAATGAACAACCCATTGCTAAAATGACAGGACCAAATTACCACCTATTCATACAAACCCTGAATGTAAATGGCTTAAACTCATCAATCCACATGCTAGATTAGTAGACTGGATTAAAAAATAAAACCCATCTATTTTTTGCCCACAGGAGACACATCTTACCAGCAAAGATCAGCAGAAGCTGTGTCTCATGGACTTTGATTTTTTCTGTTCGTTAATTTCATCTATTCAAAACAGTTTTATTAAATTCTTCAATGACTCATAGATCATGCAGAAGCATCATTTTCTTCAAAAAGGTTCTTGATTCCCTTTTTCATTTCTCCAGCAACACATTAGTCATTCAGGAGCATGTTATTTAACTTCATGCTGTTGTTAATTTCTTTTTTTTTTTCCGTTGCTGTTGTTGATTATGTTTTGTGGCTTTTCATTTAAGGGGATGTATAGTAATGGTGTAATGGAGGCTATCATATCTAGCAGCATATTTTTAACTTCATGGCATTATAAATCTCTATTTTTCTTCCTGTTGTCGATTTTGTATTGTAGCTTTTCATTTAAGGGGATGTAGTAATTGTGTAATGGAGACTATCATATCTAGATGTGAGGACACACAATGCAGTATGCATCTCTATTTTCAGACCAAAGATGGACTCCCAATGAAACTGTTAACTATATCTTGACAATAGCATGCTGGAGTCTCTGCCATTGTCCATGCCTCCATTTCTTGAAATTTAACACACAAATTAATTTAAAATTGGAATTGAGAAGTACTTAAGAACAAATCTAAGTTGTTCTAAAACACAAAAAAGAGGCATATGAGGATTGTTTTGATTATGTGATACAAATAAAAATTATTCAAATTGACTTAAGGAATTGCTCAGTTAGTTGCAAAACTGAACCCATCAGAGGATATTCTCATTCCATCTTTGGTAGTCAGGATGCTCCTTCCTTGTCTTATACTGCTCTGAGGAGCTCCTGGGACTACAGGATTACTCAGTTCCTGCAAAATCTTAAGTCAAAGACTAACTATGATTGCTCCAGCTCCAGCTCCGGGCACGTGACCAGCTGTTTCTAAGAACTGTGGCCAAGGGGGACAGAGCACATTGGTTACATTACCCTCAATCCCGTCGCCCAGCCTGGGTTCAGGTTAGGGCAAAGAATTAGCTGCTCCCAAAATAAATTGAATTCTATGGGAGAGATATTGACTGCACACTGAGTATCCATCTGCTCTCTAACATTTCTTAGTCACAGAGCTAACTCTGCCAATGGCTATGATTGGAATAGATGTGTGTTCCTGGTAACTGAAACATTTGGGAAGAAAATGCACAATTCTTGAAATCTTTCTTCTCCTTCACCGTGGATGTGACCCATGCCTTGTCTCAGTGGTTCTTTCTAGTGTCAAGCCACTACACTTTTAGCGTTACTGCCCTAAATTAGCCAAGACTGACCACTTCTGACACCCACGCGAAAGCACATGGCTGTGAAGGGAAACAGAGTCTTCAGTCTTTGCACTTGGAACATCCACTTTCTAAGGAAGTCATCTCCACGAGGCAAGCACTCTCTAAGCTGATGTCCCTGTCAGTTCCGCCTGTACCTGTCAGGAGGAATCCAGGTCTGGCCCTCCCCATACGAACCGGAGAGATGATTAGAAGCAGCAGTGGGTTTGCGGCAAAGGGGCCCAGGGTAGTAGAAGAACCAGCAATGGTGAGGTTGCATTTTCACACAGCATCTGTCAAGCGTTGATGACCCGCTCCCTGTCTCACGAGGAGAAACAAGTGTACCGTATCATCTCCCAGTGTGGTGTGATGGCTACAGGAAAAGGCTGTAGACTCAAATACCTGCTCAAAATCCTCCCTGAGCCATGTACCAGCTATCAGAAGAATTAACTAAGTTGAGACTCAGTATCTTCATTTTAAACTCAGAACAATAAGTACACCCAGCTATTGAGATAAGCTAACACCTAAGTGTGATAATGTTGTCATTGCCACTGCCACCATCGTCATCACCATTCTCAGTCATCCTTGCTAAATCCTCATCCAGGGAACCTTAAGCCTCCCTCCCCTAAGAGAGTTGAACTGTGTGTCATGAGGGCAGCCCTACTGCAGACTGTCCCTGGCTTTTCAGAAGAGCCCATGGGCCCAGCGCCATTCCCTGATTACTGATGGAGAACAAGACACTACCTGAAGTCTCTAAGCCCCAGGCCACTTTGAAGTTCCCCCAGAACACACTCCGTGTGTCGCCCCTCATGCACAAGGACTCGCAGCATTGTCCCACTCCTTCTCAAGGACCTAAGCCAGAAGTCCAGTTCAGAGGAGCAGTGCGCTCTGATGAGACAAATCCACACCACATTGTCCAGGCACCTGTGGGTCCTGCTGCTGTGCAAGGTGAGCTGTAGGGAGCCAAGCAAGCCCAGGCCCAGCCCAGGTGCCAGCCCAGGTGCCAGCCCAGGGGAAACAAGACTGAGAAGAACCGTTAGGTCACATTCACATTTTCAGGTCACATTCTTTATGTCTTGAAGGCTGAGTATAAAATATGTCCTTGAGATCAGTTTGGTAACCAAATCCCTCTGTTCATTTTAATAGTAATAATTATATACTGACATTTAAAACAAAGTATTTGGTAGTAAAGCATGCCAAATGCTTTAACCTAATAATAATAATAGTATACTGTGGTCCTAAAGTCAGACTGCATTGCCCGTGAAAGAATTGGAAAAAGAAAAAACAAGTAAACAAGTATCACTTGTAATGATAAAGCTTTGATGGAAAAATCTAACTTTCACATAGAGATGATTCCTTTCTGTGTTGGATGAGAGAGACAAAATGCACACACACACATATATAGTTATATATATTCTTGCTACATATATACATATACGTGTGTACAAATAAAGCATCTGTTACTTCAAGTAGGAGAAATCTGAAAAGAGTATATTAAATAAGAGAGTATTGCCCTTATTACAGATTTACTCTGTGTCTGAAAGCTGATTAAGTCCAGGATGGTGTACCTAACCAGGAACACGAGCAAGCAAGCCACATCTCATTTACTTGTTTAGTAACAGAGCTCTGTTGTGGAAGAAGAAAATTTTCAGCAATTTATATATCGAGATGCTGTTTGAAACCCCACTTGAATTCATTCTACCGTATAAATTAGTGACTTGTGGGTGAGGATCCCTCACCTCTGTGCTGCACATCCTTTTCAATCCAACTCAACAAACAGGACTTTGATCTCAACAACCTCAATAAAACATTTAGAGATACAGGGGAAAAGAACTAATACTGAGGGCCTTGGTCTCAACAATGTCAAATATTAATGAAATGTGTCAACCTCAGCAGAAAATTGTACTTACAATACTGTAGACATCTGTAGTAGGCAAATTCCTGGAGACTGAAACTAGATGAGAAGTTTCCAGGAGTTGGAGGGGGAAGGGTCTGCTGAAGGGGTGATGGAAAAGTTGGGGAGCATAGGTGAAGCTAGTGTGGTGGTTGCACAGCGTTGTGGATGTAATGAATGCTGCTTAACTGTCTTGAACCCACTGTTGGGATGCCTGCTTCCCATGTGGAATGCCGGGATGAATCCCGGTTACTCTCATGGAAGGCATCCTGGGGAGGTGATAATGATGGCTCTGGTGTTTGGGTCCCTCCTACTCACATCAGAGACCTACATGGAGTTTCAACCTCATGGCTTCGTCCTGGTCCAGCCCTCAACATTTGTGAAGTGGCTCATCACTTTCTCTTTCACTGATGCTCTGAATTTCAAATTTAGAAACAGTCAGTGTGCATTATGTTGTATGTTTCATTCAATGAAGTAAAAG